TTAACAATAACAGTAGTTTCGGCGGGAACTAAACTTGAGTTGCGCAGATAGGATAGAGTGGGGATAAATAGTTCACTTATTTTCATGCAAGCTTTCCTAAAAAAAACTCCTGAAATTAGCAATAAAAAACTGAGGGTCACTTATCGGGATAAAAACTATCCTTTCTCTCAAGATGAACCAAACTGCACACACTGTGCAAAATTTCATTGAAATCAGTTCAGTAGTTTAGGAGTGCATCGCGGACAAACAATGTGACACGTAATTATTATATATAAAGATTGTATATTGAATTTCTGTACTTCTTATTACACCTACCTCTTTTATCTCTGCACTACTTTATGGTAGACTGGTAGATAATGCCTCGGGCATTAAGTCCGCCTATATACATTAAAGTGTATATGAAGTTAAATAAATAAATTACTAATACGGCCGTGTTACTGTTACCCCTTAGTACTGATTAGAGCCATTTATTAAATTAGAACAAACAAACTTCTAGATCTCATTTGTATTAAGCTTCATCTTATAATTTGGTATCCAGTTTTACCACAGAATGTTCGTGTCTCATTAAATAAATAAATGCCTCATCTAACCATCTAGAATAAATGATTATCTGTACAAAAATAAAACAGTTGAATAGAGCTTAGATCTTCACAGCGACGTACATTATAATTAGAACAATCGAAGTGAAATCGGACTAAGCCGTCAATGACATCACGTCTCTAAGGTATCCATTACGGTGTGGCTTACGTGAAGATATCCGAATGCGCATCCATTGTACAGGTAACTCAACACTTACGAGGCTGTGGATCCATCGAGGCCATTCACGTTACTTTTTTTTTTTAGTACTGCCTATTAGCTTTTTTAGCACAGTCTTTAGTGACACTGTATTTGTAGCCGATCGTGTAAGTAGATGCTGTGGCCTATAGACTACTTCATCTGTCCTCGATTAAGAATCACAATGCAGATGCGTTGTCACCCCTGAGGACTAAAATATAATGCCTCTTTTCCAATAAAAAGGGTCTCCGGTTCTCTACACTCACCATACGAAACACAGCAGTGTTAAGCTGCTATTTTACGCTGGTATTCTGTGAGAGCGTATCATGTGCGAAGAGTGTGAAGTTACCTTTTTCTTCTTCATTTGCCCGCAAAGATCGACAGCTGGATACAAGTTTCTCCCATTGTAAGGTTGTTGTAGCCCCTCTGTATCACCTCTGTCACTGGCTCCCAACGCCTGATATTTTACGTCTGGCGTATACGAGATGAATATACCGTCATCCATCGGAAGCCGTAGAATCTTTCTGGAACTGCTCACAATCACCACCAATGAAATTGTTGATTGCAATTTTAAGTGCTGATTTACCACGACTCGGCGATGAAGGAAAACTTCGTAAACAAAACCTGCATGTGTGAGAAATCAGAAAAAAATATTTCGAAGACATGTGAAGTTCGCCAACACGCATTGGAGCAGCGCGGCGGACATTTCCTTGCTCTAAAACCCTCTCAGAAATGAGAGGAGGCCTGTACCTGGCTGTGTGACGTCCTCTATTATATGCTGTCTTAACTAACCTCTAACGACAGTCACGCTTATATTTTTATTTAATTTTTTAAAACAAGAAAAAAGGAAGGAAGGCCTACATTCAGCAGTGATATGCTGTAATAGTAAATGTAAACATTTATTTGTATACAAATACAAAACAGAACCACCTGAACTTTGTTTTAAAGTAATTGAAAATACCTAAATATTAATTTTTTTGTCATTTTTTCTCATCCTGATATTTACTGATACTTGATACTTACTAAATGTAGACCCGATACTTTCGCACTGCTCACCGTAACTTTAATGCCTGGAATTTTGATATTTTATTTCGGAATAAACATAATTTTTTATTTAAACTCATAGTAAACCAAGTTCAATACCTGCCAACATCGTAGAAATCTGATAATTTAAAAAAAAATTCGAGGACATGTTATGAAATCCGCTAACACGCATTGAGGCAGCGTAGATACTTATTTCTTGCCCTAAAACTCTCAAATAGAGCCTTTTCAGTATATAAAAAGTACTCTGTGTAGAGCCTGAACCCGACATTGAGACGTATGAAAACTACTTTACTTTTTCATACATCGCCTCGCCCGCCAACGATTCTATACAAAAATTGACTTGATTTGTTTGATTGATTCTTCTTGCTCAATCTTTTTTTTTTTTATTTAGTTATCAATGAATTAGAAATTATTTTTAAATTTGGAACAGAAAAGTCGTTTATTATTATTTCGATAGTAAATTTACATTCACTCGGCGACAGATTATGCCACTAGTATAATATTGGACAATGTTTTTGCAGTCGCATAAACTTCCATTTAATTGACCTTATAGATGGAGATGTCAGATTTGATAATGGACTTGTTCCTAATTGACGTTGCGCATTTCATAATCCTAAATAAGCTTACATAAAAGTCGCTCTTTTTTCTTAATTCACTTTAACTAGTAGTTGTTTCGTAATATTGACTGGATTTGCATTTAAACGGCATATAAATCGCGTGGTTTAGTCGGTGCAATACCAATATAAATAATTACATACAAAATTTGTATTTATTTGAATTCTATTTTTACGTGGTAGATCCAAGCTGCAGATATATTACCGACGTAGCATGAATGGGTCCGCTCGTCCGGGGAAGGACCACGCTTTAGCAGAATACCTTAATCCCGCTGTGTCAACCCTACGGGGTGAGTATAGAGAACCGGAGACCCTTTTTACTGGTAACGAGGCATTCCATCTTCCTCATTTTATGGACGCATAGAGATGTCTATGAGCCACATCATCCACTTGCCATCAGGGGGACTGTGTGTTAGCGTGTCATACTTATGCTATAAAAAGTATTTTTAATGTGAGGTGTCATTTTATACCGCGATATAAAATTCAACAACTGTTCACACTATACAATCTCTGCCGTGTAGTGCCGGCGTAGAGAATCCATCACTCCATTTCGTCCTATGAGCGTTGCGACCAGTGCCTACAGAAAAAAACCACAAAAAAATTATGGTCAATAGATTTTTTTTATAGAATAAGGGTGACAAACGAGCACACAGTCCACCTGATGGTAAGTGGATACTGTGGCTCATAAACATCTACATCTATCCTCAATTAAGCATAAAAATGCAAATGCGTTGTCACCCGGACTAAGATGGAATACCTATTTTCCAGTAAAACGGGTCTCCTGTTATCTACACTCACCATACGAAACACAGCAGCGCTAAGCTGCTATTTTACGCTGGTATTCTGTGTGAGCGTGGTCCTGCCCGGGTCGAGCCGACCCATTCGTGCTACAACCATACCACGCATAACCAATGCTAAACGTAAAATACTTAGACAAGTGACAAGGAGCAGCGTTAATGGTGCATAATATCAATCAGACTCTATGCATGGTGATTATAAGAAATCCTCTACAACGGGAGACGCCCAAGTCCAGCAGTGGACTTTTGTAGGTTGATAAAAAAGAGGTATCGTTTCTTTCTTCTTTTTTAACCTTAACGCAGTTGAGATATTCGAATTCAAAACCATAAATACATATACGTCGTTCTACACTAAAGTCGGTATTCAGAGACAATTTTAGGTTGCCACTTTCGCTGTTCGATTTTGAGACATAATAGTAGGACAATAATAATGACCTATATGTAGTACACGGGACAGTAAAAGGGTTAAAACTAAATCAGTTTGTGTAACATAATCATACTATGCTTCAGACCGAATTTAGTTCACAGCGGCCAGTCCCAAAGTGGACTAGCTGTCTAAGCATGGATATAGGATTATAGTGCACGAGTGTATGCGCAAACACAGGAGCACTATATATTCCATCACTCGTAGTCCGATGAAACGGTAATCAGATACGACCGGAGAGAGATCAGGCGCAGGACCAACGGCGGCTGAAGCACCGCCAACTTTCTGATTCCGACCTGTTGCTGAGAATTTCTTGACATAAAACCCATTACATAACTGATTTTGGCCTGACCCGGGATTCGAATCCGGGACCTCATGATTAGCAAACGCAATGCCGAGATTCATATTATGGTCTAGTCTTGAGTGACTTGAAATTTTGACATTGGGAAGTTTGAGTTTAAATTTGAAATTATCTCTAAGTACCGGCCTAAGTCTAGCTTAAATTGCAACCACATAACTACACAAATGGCAGGTAATTAAAAGTACATTAGATAGCATTATAACTTCCGCGGTGCAAGAGGTCATTTAACTCAACTACATTAACCTCCAAGCAAGTATATCACGAGACTCCATTTTCCACAAGGAGAGCATTTTTAAATATATTTTTTCAATGGCGCCTCTGCTTATGTGATGACATCATCTATTACTGCGGTGTCGTAGCCTCAGAGGATGAGCATTAATAATAGATAGAATGACCGAGGTACTGGTCAAGATGAGTCCATGACTACCGTTTTCTTGAATTCGACACGGAATACTAAAAATTGTCCAAAAAATTGATACAAATTACAAGCAATCCGCTCCGGCTCTACCTGGGAAGGAATACACTCTCACAGAATACCAGCTTAAAATAGCAGCTTAATGCGACTGTGTTTCGTATGCTGAGTGTAGAGGAACAGAGCCCTTTTTACTGGGAATGAGGCATTCCATCTTAGTCCTCACGGGCGACAACGCATCTATATTTTGATTTGTAATAGAGGATAGATGTAGATGTCTATGGGCCGCAGCAACCACTTACCATCAGGTGGACTGTGTGGTCGTTTGTCACCCTTATCCTATAAAAAAAAACAGAGATTCGTTTTACTCAAAATGAGGCATTCCATCTTAGTCCTCAACAACGCACTTGCATTTTGATTCTTAATCGATGATAAATGAAGATGTATATGGGCCCCAGCACCCACTTCCCATCAGGTGAACTCTGTGACCCTTATACTTCATCAGAAAGAAAACTTAAAAAATACTTCATCAGAAAAGAGCGTCTTCATCAACTAACCATTTTTCTCTTTCCAGGTCTTCATTCTGATCTATCCATATCATCGCTGGACGGTGAGGAGGGTGAATGCCTTCGTCGCGGAGCCCTAGCGGCTGCCTGTGCCGACGCGGTCGCAGCTTATGCCACCCTAGAAGGCTCCCGCGTGAGGGATTCCATCGCCGCCCACGCCAGAAGAGCGCTGGAGAGGGAGAGGCAGATCGACGAGAAGAATGAGATCATCGCTGACCTGTCTTCTAAGGTAAGTTCTTTTAATTATTTTATTTCTTTTGAATTTTTTAAGTACGGTGGTGGTACGGTACGGTACGTTACCTATTTCTTCCCGTTTGTCATAAAAGGCGACAATTTGAAAAAACTTTATGTTCTCCGGTTGATGGCGGTAGATATCTCTTTCTGTTTTTCTACAGAGAGAGCGAGACAAATTATATCGTTTGTTGACGTTCATGCTGCCTTAGTATAATGTTTACGAGTAAGTACAAGGTAAATTGTTAGGCTATTGTCAAACACTTAAAAAACTGTGGTCAAACAGTAGCAAAGATTATTTTTAAATGTCCGTAAATAATTACTGAAAGATTGACCGAATAAGCTGTGAACTGTGAATTATATATAATTTTAAATGTTTATTTTTCAATAGGGTGTAGAGTGAGTATTTCTAAACAAAAAAGCATTTATTTTATATTTTGTACATGCGGCTCACCTGATGGTAAGTGACTACCGCAGACCAAGAACAACTACAACACCAGGGGAATTGCAGGTGCGTTGCCGGCCGTCATAACGGTCCGAAAATATCGCTGATGGTAATTGATTCCACAAGAAAAATGTGCGTGGAAGAAAACATCTTGTAAATCGCAGTGGTGGACCGCACATCATCCAGATAGTATGGATGGTATCGCGAGTTGCGATGTGCGATGGTGAAATTCAGCGGTTGGAATTAGTCCGAACAATTCCTTTGAGCACACCCCGTTGTTATCACCAAATGTCGCTAGTTGGGATTGAGGTGAAGTTTTTTATAAGACAATTTCATTGAGAAATTAGCTTTAAATAAAAGTTGATCAGTTTTTAGTGTATTACAATTATACACGAAACAGCCTCAGTGGTTTGCTCTTTAATTTTTTGCTTATTTTAAACACTTTTTTTTTAATTTTTTAGTTTGTTTTATTAATGTAGGTAGTTAATATTATATAATTAAAATGTAGTTTGGTTTATTAATTCCTAATCAAATTAATATGAATTATAACTGTATATTAACCCTTACATTTTCTTAATAAATTACCTTCCCCGCTATGAAGTATGTTAAATATTTCACCTTATTCCAAAGTGGCGCCGCCCTGGTGGCAGAAAAAGTTTTGGATTATTATTCGTCCGTATTACGATCGAATTTCAACCACTAAACGACCACCAGTTATTAATGTGTTATTGTAAACTGCAATCGGGAAATTTCAAGCGATTGATTCAAAACAACGGCGTCGCTTATCGCCCGCGTCGAAAACCGTAAACAACGCGAAAAGGAAACCAATATCGGTGCGAAATCAATTCAAACCGGCACAACGGTGAACGGTACCCGCGATTGGGTGCACTAAGTGTTCGCCACGAGTGGTGACCACGCCACTTTCGATTACTGACTGTCCGACAGACATTCAACTTCGCGTAATAGATTACAATAATGTTAGAGTTAAAAAATTACACTTTTAAAAAGTAAAATCGACTGCAAAGAACAAAAAGTTATAAAATATTTTCCGCATAATAACTTCAGAAGTCGGTGCTAAAACATAAAGTATAATGGTTGATTAAGCGAGGATTCCTTAAGGCATTAAGTCCACCATATGTGCGATTTTATTCTTTGTGCATAAAAGTTTTAATAAATAAAAATGTATACAATATGTATTCTTACAGCGCCACTACACGGCGTCCACTACCCCATATCATCCCGTGGGTGTAGTAAGAGGCGACAGAGGGAAACAAATCAGGAGATGGGCACCAGCGTCTTCCTAATAACGACTAAAAACAAAAAAAAACAGCGGTTGTCAATCCGCTTGCCAAGCGTGGCAATTATGGCAATTATCCCCCCTATGAGGTAATCTATGAGATGGAAGCCTCAACAGGGGAGACAAAACGGCCAAGGGTTAGGGGGAAAGGGAAAGAAACCGGCGGACGATGCGGGCGGTATCAAGGAGCACCGCCTTCTGCATTTGAGTCCAGAGTGGTCCGTCACGGAGTCCCAGTTGCCTTAGATGACCCGAAAGGCCGACCGGGATTAACCCGTTTGCAGAGACGACTACAGGAATAATTTCGGTCGGCAAACCACTCCACATGTCGGTCACCTGGTGAGCCAGGTCCAGATATTTTGTTTTCTTATCTGCTTCGGCTTTCACGAGGTTCTCGTTATTAGTATTGTTACGAGCTTGGGGTTCAAGATAATTAAAAACTGCCGAGTGAATTACCAAAATTGACTATTTAATTACACAACACTAATTATAACTTAAAATCACACTAATAATAAAACACAGTTCGCCGTTATTTCGCTTCGAAGTATTCTCTTGTATCGCCAATTCAATACTGCCTTGGTCGTGGTCCATACCGGCCTTATATAGGGCCTCAGACAGTTTCCAGAACCTTCTACTGTAGCGACATCTAGAATGTTCGAGTACATATCGGTCCCGAAATTTCTGGAAGGATCTCGACTCTCCTAGTTCTGCTACTCGACACTAGAGGGCGCTAGTGTAACTAGTGTTGCCATGTACAAGACATTAATAGTGGCGCGTAACACTGCCCCCTCCTAAGACATGCTCGTCCCGAGCATTATTGGCCCCATAATAACGCGCCAGTCGATCCACATGGACAATCTTAGGAGTACCTCTGGCACCTTTCTGTATCCGGTAGGTTACGTCATTGATCCTTGTCACAATCCGGTATGGTCCGTCCCATTTAGCTTGAAGCTTAGGAGATTTCCCTTTGCTGCGAACTGGATTGTGTAACCACACTAGTGAACCTTCATCAAACCCCTTGTTGTTCATTTTGCGGTCATACCGTGTTTTCATCTTCTCAGACGTTTGCTGGCTCGTCTGTCTGACGTGCTCATAAATGTCATTCATTTTGTTCCGCAAGTCATTTGCATAATCGGTTGTACTGCGTGGGGCATCAGGTGGTATTCCGGTGATCAGGTCTGCAGGCAGCCGCAATTCTCTCCCAAAGTTTACGAAAGCTGGTGTCACTGATGTACTTTCGTGAACAGCGCTTCGATATGACAACAAAAACGGTTGTATGTGCCTGTCCCAATCTCGTTGCCGTTTTTCCACAACTTTTGCTAGGTACCTCTCCAATGTCTGATTAAATCTTTCTACCATTCCATCAGATTGTGGGTGGTAAGAAGTTGTTCGTGTTTTCTGAGTACCCATAACTCGGCAAGTTTCCTGGAATATTTGAGACTCAAAATTCCTTCCTTGATCGCTGTGAATCTCTAAAGGTACTCCAAAACGACAGAAGACTTCATGAACTAGTTTATCTGCAACGGTTGAAGCTTCTTGATTTGGAATGGCGAAGACTTCTGGCCACTTAGTGAAGTAATCCATCACAACCATGAAATACTTGTTACCACTTTCAGTTTCTGGAAACGGCCCCGCAACGTCAATGGCTATCCTCTCCCATGGTGCACCAACATTGTACAATTTCAATGCGCCTCTACTACGAATTTGAGGTCCCTTTACAGCCGCACAACTTGTACATTTGCGGCACCAGTCTTCGACATCGTCACGACAGTGGACCCAGTAAAACCGTTCTCGGATCTTCAGGAGAGTTCGTTTAACTCCCAGGTGGCCTCCTGAACAACCACTATGGTACAGCTGTAGAATATCCGGCACTTTAGCCTTAGGGACAACCATTTGCAAATGACACCTGTCTCCCCGACCATTTTCCCATTTACGGCACAGGACTCCATCCTGAATCAGCAAGCTGTCCCATTGGGCCCAATAGATTTTCGTGGTCGAACTCATTGCTGAGACGTCGCTCCACTTGGGCTTAGGAGCACTGGCCTTCATCCATTCCAGAATCGGCTTAATGTCCGAATCTTCCTGCTGTGCATGTTGTAGGCTCTCCTTCCACTCATTGCTGAGCTGGTCTGTCCTGAGCATTCTCACAGATACCACTTCCTTACCCTCTTGCCTAGTACAATGCTTGCAATCTTCAGGGCAAGGTCTTCTTGACAATGCATCTGCATTGCCATGAGATTTCCCGCTGCGATGTTCGACCACAAAGTCGTATTCCTGCAGTAGTTCAATCCATCTCGCAACTTGTCCTTCCGGATTTTTGAACTGCAATAGCCATTTCAGTGCAGCATGGTCAGTTCGTAAGTGGAATTTCCGCCCTAGAAGATATTTGCTAAAATGCTGCAAGGACTTTACCACAGCAAGCAATTCCCGTCTTGTGACACAATAGTTCCTTTCCGGCTTTGACAACGACTTGCTGAAGTACGCTATCACAATCTCTTGATCACCATTCCGTTGAGACAACACACCGCCAAGTCCTATATCACTTGCGTCTGTGTCAACTATGAATTCCTTGCCCGCATCAGGGTACCCCAAAATAGGTGTTTTGCACAGACGGTTCTTGAGCTCCTGGAATGCAATATCGCAACTTTCATCCCAGCAGAATTGTCGCTTCTCCTCGGTTGGCTTGTGCAGAGGTTTGGCTATATCTGCAAAGTTCTTCACAAATCGCCGATAATAAGAGCACAAACCCAAAAATGCTCTAACCTGTGTCTTGTCTTTTGGGACCGGCCACTCCTTGACAGCAGCAATTTTCTCTGGATCCGTGCGGATACCTTCTTCCGACACTACATACCCCAAAAAACTAACTTGCCGTTTGAATAGTGAGCACTTCTTTGGACTCAACTTCAGGTTGGCACTCTGGATCTTCATGAGCACGCGTTCCAGGTTTTGAAGGTGTTCCTCAAACGTACGGCCTACGATGATGATGTCATCCAAATAGACGAGACAGGCATCTCCAATTAGCCCGGTAAGTACAAGCTCCATCAACCTTTCAAACGTTGCTGGAGCATTGCACAATCCAAACGGCATGACTTTAAATTGCCACAGGCCCTTTCCTGTGGAGAATGCAGTTTTCTCCTTGTCCTTAGGGTCAATTTCAACCTGCCAGTAGCCACTTTTCAGATCCAGCGTACTAAACCACTTTACGCCTGTAAGCATGTCCAGCGTGTCATCAATTCTTGGCAAGGGATAGCTGTCC